TGGGTGCCTCCTGCTCGCTTTTTATTTTTCTCAGTCACATTTTGGACTGAACCTTAGATGCAGCAGGGTTATACTCTGAGATGTTTTCAGGCAGCAGACAGGAAGTTTTAGTGGGCTAAAATCGGATACATCTTACATTTTTTAGAATAGGCTTTAGCTTTTTCAGTTTGTACAGTGGAGGAGATCGTAAGTGGAAAAAACCCAGGGAAAGGTGGATTTTGAGGAGTGCTCAGGAGAAGGCTGTGGTCAGAGGGGTTACTCCAGGTGAGTCGGTGAACAGAAAATCGTTGGAGGTGGGTGTGAGGCAGAGGAGGGGAAGGAAGGTGTGATGTGATGTGATGTGATGTGATGTGATGTGATGTGATGTGATGTGATGTGATGTCTGAACAGCGTGAGGTGATGCAGGTGGAGACCAGAAACACTTTGTGGAAGTTATAGCAGAAGCAGAAATGAATCCAACCTGGAAGGAAAAGTTATTTAAGATCAAGGTACAATAAAAAATTACATTTCAGCAGATGTTGTCAATAAGATAAAAACTGTCTGATTATCAAAATTTTGAGTATGTGTTTTGATATATATGTACACTTGCATCTGTAAGTGTACATCTTTATATATGTATACATACTTTTATATAGTTAGATGTAAAGTATGCAAAACTATTGGTAGCATATGTAAATATAGGTAATACTTGCCTTGAGACAGGTTGTTTGCTTTTTCAGCTTTTTTACTAGAGCAGTACTTTTCATCTAAAACTTTACTTTTCCCTTAAAAATACATTTTTTAATTGCATTTAAATAGTGATGGAAATGTCAGTTTTTTTTCCTATAGGTACTGACCTCCTTGTAATAGTATAAATGTATTTTTTTCCCCCTAGTCTTGAACTTCGAGAGTTAGAAAAAAAAATAAAATCTGCTTATATGAATAAAGAGCGAGCTGCCCAGATCGCTGAAAAAGAAGCTATACAGTGTGAGAAAATGGTAATTAGTTTCACAGTGTCTCCCAACACCCGAGTGCTGTCACTCTTTGTATGGATTGTGCTGAAAAAAACCTTACTTTGAAGCAGACCTTTTTATCTAAAATACTGTTAGGTTTAGGTATTAAATGTTTACTGAAAAAAAACCACCAAACTAACTGGCTTACTTTGCCATTGCAATCAAAGTAGTAGTGAATTAAGCTGTATGAATAAATACAGCTTTTATTTTACTGCTTTTGTAATATTTATCTAAGTTAAAACTGTGATGCACTTTGTATTTAATCGAATCCTTGCCTTAGAAGCAGCTTGTTGAAAACGCTGTTACTGCTATTAAACAAGTAGCTGAATAACTCGTCTGAATTGTGAACTTTTATTTGTGTATAGAATAATATTGGTGGTGAGGCAGATGATTCTGATTATATTAATGTTTTAAACAAAATTCAATTTATGCAAATTGCTATGAAGACAGCACATTGATTGAGGATGTTCTACATGTTAAACCACACTGCAGTCGTTATGCCCATGTTAGTTTCACTGATGCTGAATGCTGCACCGTGTCTTTGTTCAGTGCATAGCTTCCTTCAAGTATTAATAGGTCTTCTCAAGTTGTTCAGATATTGGTGGTTCTCTTCAAGGGTTCTATGTACTGAGTTAAGCTCCTAAGCACGTTAAGGCACTGTATTTATAGATTGAGGTGGAAAACGTTCCCTTTTTGTAATGCAGTGTAATTCCTTTTTATACTGTGTAATTTTTCACTCCAAGTTATATCAGTGGGAATAAAAAGGAATCCCACATTGTTTTCTCCCCCTATAGAAACGTGAGGCTGAAATAGCCCAAAATATGCAGGAAGAGTACGAGAGGAGACTAAAAGAAGAACGTTCCGCAGAACTGAAGCGAAACAAGGAGAAAATCATGTATCAGCAAGAACTGGAGAAACAGCTGGAGGAAAAAGAAGGGAAGAAGCAGGATGCCTACGAAGAGTTTCTAAGAGAGAAACTCATGATTGATGAAATTGTAAGAAAGATCTATGAGGAAGACCAAATGTTAGTTGCTTTGCATTTTTACTATTTATTAATTGAAAACAAAACAACTCACATAATTCTGCCAGAAAACTGATTTGTATATGTCTTATTTCATAGACTAAGGCCCATTTTAGCTTTCCTTGGTCACATTTTACTAACGAGACACTGACTTGCGTGGATTTTGCTTTTAAACATCAGAATGTTCTTGTCATTCCAGTCAATCTCATGTCCTTGTTCCTGGAATATGAAATCCAGCTTATTTCAAGGGGTGCTTCCATTGGGCCTGTCGTGCAGGAAGTGACTGTGCATCACAGATTTCTGCCTCACCTCATGTCCTTACCCCTTTGAGCCCTGTTGTGTGCCTGTCCTATGGACAGGGATAGGAAAGGAGGTTTCTGCGGGCAGGGTGGTATTGTACGGGGGGGAAGAGTTTAGTTTAAATAAAAAGTTTTGGAGATTCTGGTGCTCTTTGGCTTCATTCTCATCTTTCTGTTTTGATGGGACATGTATAAAATAGCATAGTAGTGAGTACCCATGTGTACAGTCTGTCCTCCTGAAGAGAGGTGTTAGACGTGAGATTCCCTTTTAGCAGCAATTCATTAATATTTTCAATTGAGGCATTTAATTTCTAACTATGTGTAGTCATTTAAATACTAGTCTCTGGAATATATTGTTAATGATGACCATATGGTGTATTTCATGTTACTCTGTAGTATGTTAAATAACTACTTAAACATTTTTTTCTATCTTCTATAGGGAAAACCAACTGAAATTAGATAAAATGAGAGCAACTCAGATACATATTGAAGAATTTAGAAAAGAACAAGCTATCTGGAGGAGAAGGAAACAGGAAGAGATGGAAGAAGAAAATAGGAAAATTGCGGAGTTTGCCAACATCCAGCGACAAAGAGAAGAAGATCGGATGGCTAAAGTTCGAGACACTGAGGAGAAAAAACAAAGACTTCAAAGCATGGTATCAAAAATTGAAATTGTAGAAAAAAATTATTGCACATTCTTGTCTTTCATTTGGCAATTTTTCCTTCTTGTAACAGCTCGCCCAGAATCTGGAAACAGAACAACAGAAGCGTGAAGAACTGGAACAAATACGACAAGAGCTGTACCTGGAAGAACAAGCAGAGACAGAAAGGAAGAAGGAGATGGTAAGAGCTGTCAGGTAGATAAAGTGGTACCTGGGTATTGAGGGAGGAGGAGGAATATTTCACTTTCCCTGGACTTCTGCAGATTCGTATGTGGATGTTTTGGTACTTGTCAGGTACCAGGTTTTTTATATGTCTTATGTATGTTGTGTGTACCTGTGCATTAACTGTGAAAGTAAAACACAAGTGGAGAGGAGTGCTGCAACTGTGCCATAATTCCTGCAGAACATTCAGGTTAGTGGAGCTGGTCTGGATGAACCTCTAAGAAAATAAAAGTAGTAGTGTATATGCAGGAAAATACGTAACTTATGGAGTACTTAAAGCTGTAGGCAAACTAATCTAATTTAGACAGACTAGATACAAAAATGTAAAGATAAAACAAAACCATTCTGAATCGCTGATCTAGAAAATAAGTAATAAAGTGAATGCAGGGGGCAGTATTTTACAGTCTTCCTCTGTCCCTTCACTTCTGATGTCTCTGTGACGGAGCAGCGCTCCTTCATTGCGGAAATTGTCATGGGAGTCGTGATGCTTAAAGAACCTTTAGGTGAGAGCATCTCCTATGTGCAATTCCTTCTGCGTCTGAGGACATTTCACAACTCTTCCTCTAACAGTACTGGTTCATGGATCGGGGTTTTGTTTTTTTTTAACAACACAGCAGGCTTACTAAATCCAAAGTGTTTGTGACTTTGGGATGGTTCCAAGGGACTTCTTTGCACCCATGTTATCTCTGAGCTGTCTCGGAGCAAAAAGCTTAATTCTGACATGGTTTTAGTGCATGAAATGAGTTTTAATTGTTTCCACTTTCTCTTCTGGCACGAAGCGTCTATTTCCAACGCTATTTCCTAAATGTTCTTAGTCAGACAAGCTGTTTGTACATCAACTTAGTTTCTGGAGAGAAAATTCTGTCCTTTGAGTTTCCTTTGCCATCCCTAATGTATTTATGTTTTTATTTCAACCAGGAAGACAACTGAAGGTTTATGGTCCCCTTTATACATTTATTTATCTCATACAGGAGAATGCCAGGAACTTTCAAGTTCAGGTTTAAGCTAAGTAGGTTAATTAAGTGCTTGCTTTTTGCATGGCCGTTTGCTTTTACCTATGGGCCTGCCCCCGCTGTGTCCTGTCTGGCTATGGGTGACAACCAAAATGTAACATAGGCTGAGATACAGAACACTGTTATTTTTAGAGTTGGTTGATTCACTTCATGCTTGTGGAAAAAAATAATCCTCTGTTGTTCTGGATTTAATTTTGAGAATCTTGAGACATTTGCCAAAGTGGTTAACACTGGAGAGCACTGTCAGATGTGGAGTGTTTGCTCCAGTTATTTATGCTAGAAGGTAACAGCCACAGTAAACTTACTGCAGGATAAATCAGGTAGATTGGCTGATCGTGATAGTCAAAATTTTCTAAATTATTTTCAGTAGTATAGCGTTTTATTGAATTTCCCTTATAGGCAGAAATTGAAAAGAGAATAAGGCAACGTCTAGAATTAAGGCAAACGTACGAAGAACAATTTGCTTTAAAAAAGATAGCGCGACAAGCTGTGCGAGAAGAGGAAGAAGCCTTCAGACAACAGATGTTGGCCAAGTTTGCAGAGGATGATCATATTGAACAGATGAATGCTCAAAAACAAAGAATGAAACAGCTTGAACACAGAAGGGCTGTGGAAAAACTTATTGAAGACCGTCGCAAACAACTTATTGCAGATAAAGTAAGAGACGTTTTCATGTTGGCTTTTGGCTTGGCTCAAACATTTCAATATGAGAATAGAACTGCGTTACTAGGGAAACGTGACGGGACGTGCAGAGAAATATGCAGGAAGCAGGGAAGCAGACCTTTCTTTTGGTTTGCTGACAAGAAAAAAGACTTTTTAGAGCTTACTTTTTTTGTAGCTCAAGAGGTTAGAGTCAGCAACATCTCTCGAGCCCTGTGTACCTGACATGCTCTGCAAGTATCTTTTCAAGAGCCATGGGATCAGCAACACAACTGTTGCCCAGTTCAGCATCCCTGATGATGATGTGTGAGAAGGGGAAGTCCCAGCCTTGACTTTAGATTAAGTCTCTCTAATTATCATCTGAGTTAACTGAGAACAAGTTGTGGAATTCTACACTGCGATTTTTGGACCTGTTTTGTAGAGTAAAAATCACATGTGTAATGTGAATTGCAATTTCTACTCATCAGCATGAGGGTACCTGCCTATTTCTCCTTTTCTTGGATTAGAACAGTAGGGCAGGAACAGACTAACTTGTCTGAGAGCCAAGAAGGAAGCAGAACTTCTTCATAACTACCTTTAAAAGGGCTTCTAGTATGAGACCAAACACACAGCAGACTAGTCCCATGTCTTGCCATTTGGTCTTCTCTTTTGTCTAAGATTTGTTTAGTTACCAAACATGTGTTGTTTAAACAGTGCTTTGTGTGGTTTTTTACATATACTTTTCCATCCTTTTCAAATTAATTTCCTGTGACCAGAAGTTAATAAGTTCAAAATTTAGTCCACTAAAAAAAAGTTATCTTTATTCTGTCGTGGATATTGGTGGAAACAAATGTTCATAGAGCTGAAGCTGAACAGTTATAAGAACTCGCTTGTTTATTGTAGGAGCGTGAACTTGAAGAAAGACAGTTAGAGGAGAGAAGAGAAGAAAACATGCGTGTGATTGTTGAAGAAGAGAGACAGAAACTCCTGAAAGAGCATGCGTCTAAATTACTGGGTTACCTTCCTCGAGTAAGTGAACTGTATTTTAAGTGCTTTAAGTGTTTGTGCTATAAATCAGTTTTCTCTTGGGTGGTTTAAGGGGAAGTTGCAAAGCTGTGTCAGTTCCTGGAGTCAGTGGGTGTCCTCACTGTGTCAGCTCTCCTGTGCTCACCTTTTCCTTGTTTTCTTTATTTTCTCTTTCTCTTTTTGAGTCGGGAAGCAATTTACATTACTCTTTCTGTGTGAGGGGCTTTGGGCTCTACTGCGATACTGCTGCCTTGTACAGAACTTGCTGAAAGCTTCCACAGTGCGTTGCACATCCAGTTTTTGGGATATGGAATGTAAGTTCTAAAGCAGGGCTTTTGTAGCTAGAAGGGGTCCACCATAAACCCCATTTCCACCAAACTTCTCAGCTGGGGTTTTGGGAGCAATTTCTCAGTCTTCTAAGTCTTCTGTTACCATGGAAACAAGGCAGCGCAAGAAACTGCAGTGCTTACAGAAGCATTTCAAACCTGTCTCTGTTCATCCTTGTGTTTTTAAAAGTTAAAAAGATGGAAACAATTATTGTAACAGGAATAAAATACAATTTATTTTGCATTACACTTCTTGATCTGTCACCTGATGGTACACAAATGAACAGAGAGCTGCTTTAGGGATGTAAAAATGGATTTACAGTAGGGTGGGAATTATCCAACTATTTAAAGAAATTATTTTCTACAATAGTGGAAGACATTGTAAATATAGTGGAGTATAATTTTTATTCAAATATTAATACTGTAATTTGGTGCATGAATTTGTAAAATTTGGAGTGAGTTATTTTCTAATGTAAATTTAATTAAGGATAACTAAAATTGGCAATATTTTTATATAGTTTTCTGGTTTTAATTTACTGTCGTAGGAAGTCTTGGTTATTTCAGAGTGTCCAAGGCTCACCCCTCTTCCATGGTATCAGTGTTCTACTTTGTTCTTTTCTCTGCTTCAGCACTGTGTCTGAATCCTGTGGCCATACATCAGGTTACATCACTCAAAATGGTTGAATGGAAAAGTGCTACCTAATTCTAAAGTCTCCAATATAAATGCAATTTGTAATTTTTTTTTTTCCCTAAATGCTGCAAGGTGTGTTCTGTTGGTTGTGGGTCATACACATTTTTAGCCCTAAAATTAATTTAGAATTAGTTAGAGATTTAGATTTCTGGCTTCCCCTGCTTCCTTTCCCCAAAACAGTTTCTGATTAAGTCGTTCAGTATCACTGATTTCCAAAATAATGTCTTTGTAGGGCTGCTTTCAACACAACTAAAGGTGGGGATAGAGCCCTGCCCCAGCCCGTGCCTCTTTTCAGTGCAAGTTGCTTGATTTTACTGAACCTGCACCTGTGCTGTGCTGACTATAATCACTTTTATTAGAAAGAGAATGCAGATAAATGTTGGTTTTTATATAGTGCTCATGTTGGAATCTTTAGGGGGTTCTCATTATCCTTTGCATGAAGATCAAAAGAGGTGGTTCTGGGTCAGGACCAAGTATACCAATTTGAAACTCATCTATTGAAGTTTTGTGATGGTTTTCAGGGCTGTTTGTTTTAAAGGTAACACCAGTTACCTCTACTTTGTTTTACCTTCTGACATGTGTTTCTTTGTCCTTATTGCAGGGAGTACTCAAAGATGAAGATGACATTCAGATGCTTGGAGAGGACTTTAAATTGGCTTATCAGAAGAGAGGAGGTAATGCATTTTCAGAAGAGCGCTGAAATTCCCCCGTCGCCTCCTGGTTTGCCACTAGGTGTCATCTGATTTCTAACAAAAATTTCCATTTGCTGTTACCAGTGAGGAACTCCTTTTTAATATCGTTTAAAGTTTCCATTTTAAGCCTGGAGTTCTAAACTGATGAGCAGCTAGTTTTATTTAACTGTATGTTGTACTTAGGGCCTTTTAAATCAATGCTATAATGGAATTCTCAATTATTCTCGGTTACTGATGTGGCAATGTTAAAAACGCTTTCTCCAGCAACTCTGCAGAAACCTCAGCTAATGTAAATTCACGTGTGTTTCAGTATGGGCCATAAGATTCTCTTAATGCACTGTTTCTGGTTGTAATTTATTTATCTGCACTGGCATTGCACTATTAAAATACTAATCTAAATGTAGTTTGTCTCATCGCAAAGGGATAGGTTACTTGTGTCACTGTTAGTGCATGTTACTTTGCTAGTAGGTTCTAAACAGAGACCCTTTTCCATTTTGAGGTCAGATTCACCATTTATACCTTTCTTTCAGTGCATAAACTTACTCTTTTTGTGCGGTGTTCCTATTCAGTTACTCTGAGGGAGGAATCCATTGAAACAGCTGAAGTTTGAAAGCGGTTCATGCGGTCGGCGCTGGCTCTTCCTATGGCTCCTGTTCATTAAAGTACATGTGATATGCTCAGCTCATCTACACTCACACTTCTATCTAGTTTTTGATTATAACGATGACATAATAAAATCTTTAAGGATGTAATGCTTGTAGAGCATCTGTGAATATGGAGTCATTGCTCTGACTGCATCCCAAAGCAGCAGCTGGTGGCCAGGGAAAGATTTTATATTTTCACCTTGACTAAGCAGCAGTTTTAAACAGTACAACTGTGACCGATGGTGGAGTCTCTCCGGGTAGTGAGGGGCAAGTCTCATGTATGTTTTTGCCAGCCAAGGGTGTAAGATGCAATAGCTAAAACAAGGTATGATCATTTCTATAAAAGAGCTGTTGGTGCTTAAATTAGATGCCAGACCAGCCAGCTCTGAGGGGAGATCTGTTACAGAGAACAAGGCAGGCCAATTTTCCAACCACGTGTTTTAAAAAGGACATGGCATTTTCTTCTCAACTGGAGCACTGGTTAATTTATTTCTGTTGCAACAAGGAATTTTCTGAGACTAAACTCTGACTTCTTTGGACTGAATTTACCTTAGATAAGGCGCAGTTTTAAATGGTAAAGCAGAGCAAACTGATAACAAAGTTCACTGGTTAGAATATTCCTTGTGTGGTCTGTGCTTCTCTGCTCATTACAGAATGGACAGTTTGGCCTGAAACTTCAGTAGAAATTTTTATTTCATATGATCTTACAACACAAGCTATCAGGCTTATAAAATTACTTAAACGTAAGCAAAGTCAATTCACTGCAATATACAGTTATTAACTATTATTGTTAACAAGCATTCATATGTACCATCTGACTTGTCTTTCAGACAGAAGTTGGTTTTTTTTATGGAATCAATAATTTCCCCATTCGAGAGCTTTCATGAATTCCTCTTCAGTAAAAGAAAGCATCTTAGCAGCTTCCATGTGCATCTTAAAATAAATAAATGAAATAAATAATTAGGAGCAGAAGGTAAAATAGTATGAATGACCAATACAAAATCCTGGATAATTGGGATGGCTGAAAGGGGCTTCACATCAATCATTCTATTTTTTTTGTACTGTGATTTTGGTGGATCTTCACCTGTTTAAGCTGAAGCTGCTATTCATATTTTTCTGCAAAAAATTTATAGTGTAGGGATAATGTGACAAATTTTATGCTAAATTTTGCAACTTCAGCTCTAGTAAAACAGGACCAATAGCTTTTCTTTGCTTATATTGCTTTAAAAATATCTCAGTTTTCATGAGGCATGGAAATTACTGAAAATCTAACAACTCTTGTGACTTGTAGAGAATGTGTATAAGAAAACTGGTGTACATTCTTTCAAGCTGACCAATGTGCAGCTTAATGTTAAAGCTAATACAAATCTAATACATCATTAAGAATTCAACATGCTAGAGCCTCTAATATGCAGGATTTAATGTGTTAAATGAGGATTTAAAAAATAACATCATTAAAAATTAACATTAGCATAAAAGAAAAGAGTAACTGTACTACACCTTAACAAGAACTCCCGCCAGCTGCCCACTGCTAGCTGTGTTGCTGTGTGTCACACCATACATCTGTGGTCCGTTATGGCACAAATACACACACCCCCCACACGTGTACATGTGTAGATGTATACAAACCATACAGCAGTCTGAATTTGTATTTCCACTACATTACTTCAAATGGAGCAACCAAAAGGAACAAGCAGAACTTTTTAACTTATAACAAAGTTATTTTCTGTTCAAATAAGGTGATTGCTGGGAAAAATGGCGTCGCAGTCATCAAGGCTGGATGAGAAAACAAGCACTAAACCGTCAGTGTGTCTTCCACAGAACTACCTGTCAAAAAGGTGCAGCAGCCAGAAAGCTCCCTGGGCTCCAGCTGATGTCACAGCAGAGGTCACAGCTCTGCCACATGTCCTCACCCCCACTCTGGAGCATAATCCCCTTACCATCATCATTCAAAGTGGAAAGGAAAGTGTTCCAGCTAAATAGTTTTTGCTGCAAATTTTAATAAAATGGTTATGTTTTAATTTATATCTACAAGGAATCTGCTGTGGGGTTTTATATAGAGACAAACAAAGCGTATTGCAGTTCCCACAGGCAGTGTAACACCCTCCAGCTCTAAGGCTCAAAGTAACTTCTCTTAATCCCTTTAAAACTAGAATTTTCTATTAAAGTCTCTCTCTCAAGGCAAGCAGAGAATGGTCTGAAGAGACCAACTGAACACCAGCAACTACTTGCTGCCAGCTGCCACTCATCCTGCTACTGATATTTAATACCTTTTGGGGATTTTTCCCTCTACCATTCTTCATGTGGTAGTGCATCCTCACCTTCAGGCAAGATGTAACTGCTACATGCATCTGAGTCTGACACCCAAAAACTAAACAAATGGCCCAAATTAGGTTTTGCTCATTTACTCAACAAGAAGCTTGTGTGAAGCAGACTTGAAGTTCTTCAGGTGATTATGTATGCTGAGCATGTGTGAGCTTTAGCTGCCCTTCCCCTGTGCCTTTTGCCAGAAGCTATAAAAGGCAGTTAGCACCCTTCCCTTCCAGGATCTGGAAGGAGAGTAGTATTCTTCTTCTGTGAGTAAATAACACCTTTTGTAAGAAAAGGTAAGTGGCTTTCTCTACTATCTGCAGTTCTGACACAGTATTTATAATTTTTATAAAATATATTTAATGAAGTTTATCTGAGACTGGTTTTGGTTTGCAAACAGAAACACTGCTCTTTGACACTCATTTCAGTGAATTCATGTTGCAGAGGACAATGAGCTACCTCATGTAGATATATTTTGTGTCAGTGCTGTATTTTTTTCATCCTCAAAATAATCTTGGGAAAAGCTAGAAAGGCCAGCCAAAGGCTAAGCTAGCACTATTCTTGTTAGATGAATCTCCAAGATCTCCAATTCTCTTCCACTGGAAATGCACGAGCAGCCGCAGTTCCTCTTATTCCAGTTACCTATCCTCCTTGGCCCTGTGCTGGAGAAGCATTCCAGGTTTAAGGATGTATTTCCACATTGCAATTCCCAGTTCTTGGGATAAGTATGTGCATTTTCTTACATGAAGTTGCCACTTCATACAGAACTACTGTTTCTCTATGGGGGCTTAACAGCTTCAAGAGTGTTTACAAAATGTCTGGTGATCACTGCAGCACTCAGAGGGTAAATCAAATGTTCTATTTCCTTATCTCAAAGGCTGGCCCTTCTAAGGTGCTTCAGCTCAACAAGTCACCATACACTAGCTCCCTTACAGCTCTGGTTTCAGAGTGCAAAGAGAAGTGCCTTGGCTCCATCCTGAAATGAATCGCTTTCGATTCAGCAGAGCAAGCAGCTAGAGGTGAACTGCTCTATGGTGATCCTACCTAGTCAACTGAGAAGCCCACAGCTCTGCAAATCTCATGCAGCCTCTAAAGGAAACTGATACAACTGATAGCTCACAACCCCAAGTATTTGGCAAGTGAAAGGTGTGATGGAACTATTAATGCATTAGTAAGTGGAAAACCGTTTGATTTGGGCAACATCTTAGTATACATTCCTCTCACTTTATATTGCTTTCATGTAAATTCACAGATTCTTTCAATTTGTACCATCAAAACTCATTTCACAGGTCTATGCTGAAAATATATTTTGAGAAATATAAGGTATTTACCCCCTCTGCAGTGTCGGTCTATGCTGAAAATATATTTTGAGAAATATATTTGACACCCCCTCTGCAGTGTCAGAGGTTTCTCTTTCCAAGTGAAGCACCCCTCCTTTTTTGGGGCATCAGTACAGCTTTACCAAATATGATAGTTAAATATATTTTTAGCTATATTCTATCTTAATTATTAATCCACGTTTTGCTACAAGACCTTTCTATGAAAGCTGTATCACTAATTGTTCAGCTGTTAAAGAAACTGAAAGGCAGTCACCCCTGCCCTCCCTTTTATGCCCTGAGGGAGAGGAATGGAGTGAGATATGAAATGAATGTAGAATCAAACGACTTTCAAAATAAGGGTAGCTGCAAGTGCAGTGTGGATGGGAACAGCCTTGCAGATGTTACTACATTGTGTGTGATTCAAGGACACATGATATGCCAGCAATTACAAAAGGATCGAGATCAACTCCCCGCCTTCATTCTAGTAAATTCACACCTAGGTTAAGTCTTCTTTTTTTTTTTTTTTTCTTTTTTTCTCCTTTTCTTCTGACCCATAGAGAGATCTCAACCTGGGCAGAATTGTATGTGTATAGAACACCTTAGAATTTAAACAAAAGAAATGATCTTGGTAAAGAAGGACACACTTTGAGAACCCAAGAAGAACATAGGTCTGAAATGTAACAGCTCCCTCCTGAGAGGGCAAACTGTTACAGCTACTGATATGACAAGTAATATGCTGGGGGGAAAAACTAAAAAAACATCTCTCACATGCTAAAAGGAATTCTACTGACACAGCACCAAAGGGAGGTGCTGTTATTACCTGAACAGCATTTGTTCTTGAACAGATACTGTTGGTCCTAAAGCTTGTCATTAGTAACCCTTCAGCATGACAGGGTTTATGTTCCAAGTTAGGAATGGAGTCAATTCAAAAGAAGATCAGCCTTTGCTATAAAGCAAAATATTAGCAATATGCACTAATAAAAGTGAGGCTGCTGCATTCAGTCTTCCCACTCTCGGGGCTCCAGTTTACACTAATGCCTTACTTGACAAGAGACAAGAGAGGTTGTTAATTGAAATATAACAATATAACACTACTCTGGTCCTTACCTTTTGTCTCTTTAAAATATCAATTAACTTTAACTGCTTTTTAAAACCTGTCATTAGCTCTCCTTTTTGTTTCAGCAGTTTCTTGTTTTCTGTTTTTAAATCTTCAATTGTTTTGAGTTCTTGGTTAGCTACATCCTACCATGGGAAGAAAAGGAGAAATGTATTCATTATGAAAGCAGTGCTTTAACCAATGAAACTTGGCATTACATAACAAAATGACAAACAGCAGCGACACATGACACTTCTGAAAAGAAATGAGATTAATCAAACTATTCTCACATCAAAACTCGGAAAAACTCAAAGATGACAGCCAAGGTTTGCCTGTGCATCTATTAGGTGTGTATGTGTACTTCTCCCTATTTCTAATTTCCACACAGATGGGGAAAATCAGAAAAGCTCTAACTTTATTCTGTACACTTCTTCCTCTTGTATAGGTGACTTTGGTGACTTGCTCTAAGTTAATTTTGGGACTGTCTATAAGAGACCCAGCACTTCCAAAGCTGATCAAGCCTTTTGTCTCATTCTAGCTTGCTGAGTGATGACAGGTTGGAACTTGTTTTCCTAAGCCACGATACCTTGTTACTTTGCTTCAGTTTATTCAGCTCCAGTTTATACCTTTCCGCCTCTTCCAGGGCCCTGTTTAAGCGAACCTCTGTTGCATTCTGACTGGTTGCAGCCTGCTTTTGCACACGCTTTAGATTCTCCAATTCCTATTTAAGAAGCAAAGGATAAAAACAAACATTATGAAAAATGGTATTTTAATGAATCCCATATAGACAACACATTTACAGCAAGGCTCACCCTTGAAAACTTAAAGATTCTGTGGACTTCTTTGGCCTGCAGATAGAATCTGTCTCAAAGACCATTAATTCCACCATTAAAACAGCCCTTTCTCCTTTGAAATCTTGCAAAGGGATCTTTCTCATCTTTGTTTTGAACTTCTCTTAGAATAATTGTGGAGCTGATCATGTCAGACCACAGGATTGACTGAAAAACCTTGTAAATACTTAGTCAGAGAAAGAGAAAAACCGTCAGTATGTTGACTCTGGGGCAGATTTTGGAATGGTGGCCAGTATTCCCAGCTGCTTCCTCCCACCGTTCCTTTTACCTCTTTTTCCCCAGAGATTACTACATGCAGTTGCCAACAAAAAGTTAAAACAGCCTACTGAAGATGGCTGAGGGTAGTAACTAGTTCATCTAGCAGAAAATATTTCATCAAGTGTTTATGGCAACAATCAAAACAGCTCCCTCTTATCTCTGATGATAGTATTTCATAGTACTGTAAGTAGGGAAATGAGAAAAAGAGACCGAGATGAGGAGCAGCATAATGAGCTTAAAGATCAGGGAATATAGATAAAAGACAAAGCAGAAGAAATAAACAATTCTGGCAGAAAGAGCACATCTTGTCAGTTGTGAAAAAGAAAGACTTTTTTTAAAAAGATTATAAAATTTTTAGTAATGGGCACAGAAAGATTCTTTTAACCTAACCAGGGTAGACAGTGGGCTTGTTGTTAACCTTGTACCCTCAGACAGCTTTATTTATGAATAACTGTTGTATTTCTCAATGCCATACCAGCTCTTGTGGTGGTTACTTCTAATTTCCACATCACTTACCCAAGAAATACACAATAATTGACAAGTGTATGCAGCAAAGACGTTATGGTAAAGTTATTAACTGGAATAGGTATTTCTGGGAAACTTTGAATCTTCCCCAAAATGGATGAAGAAAACAGGAGAGTAAGATGAATCTCAGTAATCCTCCAAAATTCTATTGGTGAATGTGTCTCCTCCATGAGTTTACAAAATCTGATGTTGCTTCAACATTTTTATTTCATTGCTAGCCTGTCCATCTGAGTGATTAAAAAAAGATGGGTAAAAGCCTGGCTAGTAGGGGAGCAGAGCCCCTCCCTGGAACACGCGCATGTGCACCATCAGGGAAAGCAAATTTGTTTGCTGGGAACCGACCCCCACGTTTCCAAAGAAAACAACCTGCACAGCATACAAACCTCTTTGTCTTGTATTAAGATGGAGCTGTGAATAGGGTCAACTAAATCTTTCATGCTATGTATTTTATTCTGCATTATTATGAAAAGCTTTGGAATATAGCCTTTCAAGCACTTAATGACCAAAAAAATAGTCTGCATGCAATGCAAATTATGTATCAGCTAATCGTATCATTTAATGAAAGAATTCTAATAATTCTCTTAGGGCTTTTTGACATTTACTGCCATACATAATATCTTATCAAGGATTTTTTTGCAAGTCATCCAGTGAGGGTATATTGTCAAATATATTTGACTCCAAGTTTTTAATCTTAAAAATGCCTGAAATAAGTATTTTATAAGTAGGCAAGGTTTCTGCTATTTCTTCAATACTTTAAGTTAAAGCTGGATTAATTTTCTCATAAAATGTTTCTCTAAAAGGGGGAAAAACTGACTACTTTCTAAAACTGCATCCCATTTCAATCTCTGGATTTTCTCTACTGTTCTGGCATGGCTGAGGCACTTGAATATCAGTAGGAGGTGTGATACCAGAGAGCTGGTCTGTGAGTAACCCTCCCAGCAGGTTTTCTTTCCTCCCAGTAGCAAGCATACACAGCACTTCTGTCTTTAGAAAACTCACCTTTAGAAGGCAACACCTGTCCACCCCCAAAAATGTTTGAGAGAATGCTTGCTTAACATTGAGCCCTTCTTCAAGGCAAATTATAAAATCCCTGCACAAAGCCTTAAAAGGAGTAAGAGCAAAACTTTGGTGTTTCCCTCTTCAATATTATTCAACATTATAGCCACACTGAGTTAACCAGTGAGAGAGAACACAGAGGGAGGAATGTTCTTGTAGGCAGGTGGTGAAAAAAGACAGGAGAGGTGATAAAATTTATGAGATCAAATGAATGGGGAAAAAAAAAAAGAATGCTGTAAAGAAGAGGATAGAGGTTTTGGGGAGCATCAGAATTCAGCTGGCACCTGAGATGGGTGTTCAGCAGAAATGTTCTCAGAGATCAAACACCAAAAGAATTAAATGTAAAAATAAAAAACTAATTACTATGTTTCTGGTAAATTGTGAAAATTAGGTGAGAATCTTTGCCAGGCACATAAAATGAAAAGTAGCTGGGAGATTAATAACATTGTGTAAACTGTTGAAAATCTAAGGAAGCTCGAGAAAGTGTGTATCACAACTTAAGTCTGCTACTATTTATGTTGCAACAGAAACAGCAACAAAAGCAATAAAAGCCCCAAAATCAGATGTTACATTTGTGCTATTTCAATTATACAGAAAACTTTCTCTGAAAGTATGGATCTTGAGAGCTTAGCAGCACAGCAGTACAAATTCAGGCCCATGTTCACAGGAAATTGTTTTTAAACATACATCTAGAATTAATCTACAAGAACATTAATTATATAGCGTTGAATAATACTTCATAACTAAAGGATAACATAGTTTTCAGATTGCTAAGTGCATAGGAGATTTAAGCAGTTATTGCAGAATGATTTTTAAATGCATGTTTTTGGCAGTTAGATGATTTTCTTCTTGTAACAGAAAAAATATGTAAAATAACTTGTGAATCAGCAGAGAACTATTCATTACATATACCTGCCTTTTTTGCCTTCTCAGTATTTTAAAGAACTACCACTATTTGTCAAGATCATGTCTGATCAGTAATCTTGAGAAATTTTATGAAACACAACCTATTAGGAATAATTGAAGCAACTGAGGGTGGCAGATCCAGTGCAAAGACAAGTGAGGAAAGCAACCATATTTTGGATATGGTAGCTGTACAGCAGGAGTGAATAAACCTTTCATCACAACAGACATCTCAACACTGGGAAAAACTTTCTAACTGTGACTGTGTACAAGAACCAGCACAGACTGTCCAAGGAAATTACAGAAATTGCCATCACAGAAGTCTTAAATACAGGTTAAACAAACTTAGGTCCAGGATGGCTTGAATATAATCTATCCTGTCTTGGTTTAAAGGAATGGCCTAAATGGCTTTGGGCCAGTCTCTGAGCCCTATTTACCGTGAGCCGATGAGTCGTATGAGTACTACTATTGAATACTTTTCCTGACGGAATCAACAATCAGGGTACTTATTTAAGGGAACTTAAAACCTCCAAGAATATGCACATAAAGAACATTTTAGTTTTAAAATGCCAGAACTACATAATGTTAAGATGAAAGCATGCCTATACAAATGCATAGTATGATTTAATGAAAGTATAATGAGACTGTCAGGCTGAGTTGTGTTCTGTTTTCCCTAAATTTTAAGGGAAACATTCTCCTGGTTATATTACATGTACTACAATATACTGTATGTATTACATGATTTTTTTAAGTCAGCCTCTCTAGCTCTGAGTAATTAAAGAAAAACACATGCTGCTCTTAGATTAAGTTCCAAACAAACAAAGCTGTGTATGCAGGCCATCTGCTACAACTAGGCACGTATACAATTTTGCATATGTGGCCTACAGCAGGAGCCAGGTTAATTTTGGTGCATCCAAGTTGGAGTGACTGGTTTTCAAACAGTTCATTGTCAAGAACAAAGACACATCTCTTCCTCTACCTGCAGAAGACACTAATGTAAGCTGCAGGTGTTTGGTTTTTAGGTTGTTTCTTTTTTTAAAAAAAAAAATGTTCACCAGGTTCTACAGTTTACCATAAAACTCTTATTATCAGAAGTATTTTTTTAAAAACTATAATTAAAACCAGAAAAATAAAATTTCCCTGTATTTTTCAAGATTCTTTGTGAATTTGACAGCATTTTATTAAAAGGCTGTTTTGTCTCTTGGTGGGTCTTTTACACAAGAATTTAATTTTAAAATACAGAAATATATGATTGTAGAAGCAGAAGAAAAGCAATTAGCAAACTACATTATTTCTTCCTTTAAAAAAGTCATTAGACCATTAAAAAATACAATTCCTAAAAGTGTTATCAGAATGAAACACTAACGGCATCACTGGATATGAATCTATCAAACTAGGGTAGATTTGATGTGGTTTTTTCACTTTCATGAGATAAATGAGACTAATACCTGCAATACCTTTTCTAGTGCAATGACCTCTTGTTGTAACCCTTCACTTTTTTTGTTTGCTTCTTGTGACAATATTTTGTACTTTTCAGTCTGAGAATGTTGCATACTGATTGTTCGTTGCAGTCTGGTGTTTTCTTCTTCTGCATCTTTAAGCCGAGATTTTAGATTCTGATTTTCATCATGCTGTTTGACAGTAATTAGCAAAAAAATGCAATTAAATTATTGCAAGGAAGCAGTAGGATAATGTGATAGTAATGGTTTGTAAATAAAAGGCAGTAAAAATATACATATTGTAGATATGGAGATAGTGATTTTTTTTTTTTTTAAAATTATGCTATTTTTAAATGTTTAGATCCTTCATGATGGATTTCACAACAATTTTAAGCAAAGAAACAACTAAGACAAACCAAGAAAACAAAACACCAATTTACCAGGACAATACTTCAAAAACCAGTAACACTCTCCTTATTTAATTTTCTGCAGTCTTTTACCTGGAACTGTCTTATAGCAATATGTAAAACATTTAATTTCTCATAGTTCAAAGGTTTTGAGAACTATCAAAATGTTGTAGAATAATAGTGGCACACAGATATTTTGTGACATTTTTGTGAGAATAGCTAAACAGACACTTTAGGAAAAATTCTAGGAAAAAGAAGAGAGCATAACTGCTGATATATCAGTCCATTATGTTTTAAGAGATTATCTGGTTTTGATCCAGGATATATCAAGTATTCAAATTCAAGATTCTCTTATCAACTGAATTCTGGGTTAGCTTCATGACCTACTGGCAATTACATCCCACATTAAACATTATAGTTTCAAGGCATTTTTCTTTTATAACCTTTTAAAAATTTTAAGTGAATATTTATGTAGGTTATTTCAGAGATACATTATGCCCTTCATTTCTTTAAGAAAAAAAAAATCAAGGCACATACAGAAATTGAGTTTCCATGAAAACAAGTCTTTCTCTCCTGTCTCTCAGCCCACAGGAATGCAGGTTTCTCACCTGGGAAATGTATGTGTTTTGTCCTATGTTAAGAAACTCCCACTTCTTTATATTTAAAACAGATTTACTGCTTCTTTATAATAAATTGGACTGTGGACTGGAACAAAACACAGAATCTGTCTCAGGGCTTTGCCAGTATCAAGTTTTTGTGACCTTCTGAATATAATAAACTTATTTTCACACCAGAGAAACCAGTACCCAAAACAATACATCTACCTACAGAGTGCTGTAGGAGCAGGACAAGAATAGGTACGAGGTGGTCTTCTGTCATCTGCTATAGTAACTGAATTCTGTAGTATTTTTGGCATGGAATGATGAAGTTCAATAGCTACTGACAAAACTATATTTTATTTGAAAGTGAAAATGTCTTTAAAATCTAATGAAACAACTTTCTTCTGATCATAGTATTGAAATGCAGAAGCAAACTGTATTGATAAAAATGAAATTAAATAAAGTATAAAGTACAGAGATAAAATATCAAAATCTAATTCCTTCTAAAGATTTTCTCCAGGTACCTATATATAAAAAAACTTTATTGAATACCATGCTGCTCTTTAAATTAAAAGCTTGAGAGAAAACATATAGGTGGTTTGCCATATGTTCTGAATGTCATAATCGCACATTAAAACATTTGGGCCTGGGGAATAGGTTTTAAGGTTTTACAGTTCAAGAAAGGTTTGAGCATCACCTGAAAATATATTGCCAGACAGTGCAGATCATAAAAACTCACTTGTAGTACATGCTAACAGTAAAATACCAGTGTAGCTTCACACTGCCTTAACTTCAGTCTGATCTGCCCAAATATGTAATTCCAAATACAGTCCCCTACATCAAGCGTAATCTTGAGAACTCTGTTTCTACAGATAATAAAACTCAGCTCTTACCTTTTTCTTGCATTCACACACTACACTATCCAGCTGTTCCTGCACAACACGTAACTTTGCCTTAAGAAATCTGATTTGAGCTTCTGTGAATATAAAAAGTTACATTTAATATCCACAAGTACTTATTATTCAATGTAGCAAAGCAGCAAGACTGATGTAAGAACTCACTTTCATCTTCTTGTTTTTAAAAACACATTGTTTATAATTATTAAAGAGAAACAGGCAAATAAAACCTCAGATTTCTAAATAAATGTTGCAAGTTTCTCATTCTTAGGCAAAGCTTTGTATGCATTTTTCCTTTTACTGACTGAACTTGACATCTTTAAAATGTAAAAAACTCATAATTCTCAAAATTGAAACTTACTGGAAACTTCTGACATACTATGCTATACATTACAGCATTCCTTGTGACTGAAGTCAAGAAAACTATATTGTAGGGTATGTCTATGTTGCAATCAATGTATAGCTGCAATTTGTGTAGTTACACCCAAAGCAGTTTTAAACTGCTCATAACAAGCAATTAAATGTAGCCTGCAAAACCCTCCTAATAGGTAAATACCCCTCTCACACAGTAGTCTGTGCTTTTTTTAAAGTACACTGCTAATATTATTCAATTAATAGTTTAAAATTAAATCACTTTCATGAGATGTTTTTCCAAATGAAGTACTTCCTTGCTCCTGGACAGCTAAGAAACATACTGCTGTCATGACAAAACAAGCTGTGTGTGGACAGTGTGTTCTTTTACTCCCTATTCCCCACCATTTCCCCAGATCATTCACAAGGACTCCCCCTGAACTTCCACAGGCACAAAGCATGGAAACAGCATGAAGATCAGGTTGAGCAATAGAGGAATAACCATTATTCACAGCAGGTATAAGGGGAAAAGAATAAAGTGGAGGAGTATCCGGAGTTGAATGTGAAGGGATGGATGGGTATATGTGTTCATTTGCTTTAACAGGAATACTTTTAATTTCACCCAGCCTTCCTTATCAACTTATCAGCAGCTTAAGTTGTAACCCTGCATAGGTCAATAATAAGTAGGATTTAGGAAAACACCATGAAAAAATAAGATATAGACTGACTTTTTTTCCTCCTGTTACATCCTTATGAGCTTCTGGTAACTAGCGGCTATCCTGAGATGGAGACCATATTGAAGCCATCAAGTTTAATACTTTCATGTACTTCTATACTATTAAGTTGTTTGATTTTCTTCATAAAATAGATCATAGTTTGGCATTCACAATATCCTGTGGCAAGGAATTGGCTAATTTAATTATGCATTATGTGAAAGAAAAACACTTTGAATAGCTTCCTTTAAATCCAAGTTAATGTGGCATTTACTAGTGCTTGCATGACAAAAATTCAGCTTTCCCTTTACCATTCCTGTTTTCACTCCATAATCTTTCATATTGCCCTCAATTGTCTTGTTCTCAAATTGAAGATTCAAATTCAAGTTGTTCCATGCTTCTAATGGCTACTCTATACATACCCCTTCCTATATCTTTCCTAGTTCTACATACTGGTTTTGAGATGGGCTGTGCAGATCTGTGTCTCATACTCAATATGGGGTAGCACAGCATCTATTACATAACAGCATAATGACAACAGCACAATATTTTGTTTTCTGTTATCTTCTGAAAGATTTCTAACGATCAGTTTGCCTGAACAAGCAATAAGTTTATGCTTTTGGAGACATCCTAATTAGTAATAACTGAACAAAGTCCAACTCAGAAGTAGGTGTAATTGGCATTTTTTCTATCAGCATTACTTTGCACTCTTTAATGTTGAATATAAACCTCCATTCTATCGCAACACTCAATACAATGAGATTCTTATCCAACACTTTGATGTTGGTTTTAACTATCCTAAAATCATTGTTTCATATAGAAATTTCTTGACCAGCTATCATTCCTTTTTTCCAGATTATTTTTCTGTATATTGAACATCAGCTCCATGACAGATCACTCTACACCACTACCTGCAAAAACTGGTTGTTTTTTTAACATTTTCTTTCCTCTTTTACTCATTATTTTATTAGTCTACAGACAACTTCTCTTCTGTCTTAGACAGCTTTGTGTCATTAAGAGCACTTAGTAGTAAACTTGGTTGAAAATCCAAGAGCACTACTAGAATCAGGTCAGTACTGGGAGGTGGTTATGATCCAAAATTAGTTTGAATTCTTACAAAAGGTAAAGATAATTAAACAATTAGTTTCTAACTGGTCAATTTTAATCACCTGATGAGGCTGATAAGGGGAAGGGGGTATCACTTTATAGGATGGTCTTAGGTTATAAAGTAACCAAAAGTTTAGGGAATGGTAAACAAGAAAAGGACACCTGAGGGATTCTGATACCCTACAAGAAAGAATAGGTGTCTTGAACTCCTGAAAAAAAAAAAATCTGAAGATTAACATGAAGTTTGACAACACGTTCAGGTATTTTGTTTGTATGTGTGAGGATATATTAGATACAAATAGAGCTTCATCTTCAGCCTTCTGAATGTCTGTGTGCTTCTATCATTGCTTGTTACTGCAGAGTTGAGTTATAACCCACAACAACAGCCCCTGAGAAAAATAATGTGTAAGATACTGTGTTGGCAGAAAAATGGCTGTGCTGTGATAACCTGTGATCATGAAATAAAGATATGGAACCTAAGTCCAGGAAAAGCACTGCAAGAAGCTCTGGGAAAGGACAATGCTATGGAGCCTTATCAGCATGTTGGCCTGAAATGTCTAGCACAGGCACATAAGCCTAAGGAATCCCTTACAAGTCGATCCCCACTAGTTCAGTAACAAGACTATAAAAAAAGATATCTGAGGATCTGTTTTGAGAGACTTACTAACAGAATACTTGCACAGAATTACATGAGGTTAGAAATCGAGCTATTTCTGTGTTGGCATGCTTGTTGCCATCAAGCTGTTAGATTAAAAGATGAGAGTTTGTGCATATTGTACTACTGCAGTGAATCTCCGACTTCATGCTTGCTTTAGCATTGCAAGAAACTACATGAACCCACTTGTATCACACTAGAGCCAAGAAGACAGATGTGCATCGTGCCTTTAGCTTCACTGACAAATGCCACAATCCCTTTTCCTACTCTGTTTCTAGGACAAACATAAACACACCATTTGGAGTGGGAAAGTATCTGGAGGATTCTCATCCAAGCACTGTAGCTGAAACATTACTTCATTTAAGCCACTTGCCAAGATCCACAGCATTGATCTGAGGAAAGGCTTTTTCCTCCAAAGGCAGAATCTGTGCAAAGGACTGAAGCTCATCTCTTTGGAAAGACAAGCTTAGCATCATGTATTTCTATTTCCTCAGTGAAATTAATGAAGTGTTATGCACATTCTCAACATATGTAACCATCCAAATGTCTTCATACAACGGTGGAAAGCAAGATAAAATTTCCCTTTTCCCCATGATTATTCATATATGACCTGATCTTCCTCTAGGACTACATAAAGAAGAAAAACATTATTTTCCTTTTCCTTTAACTTAAGGGCTTTGGAACTTTCCCTGTAATTTCTACAGGAACTCTGCCTTTTTTTTTTTCCCCAGGAGAACCCATTTCTAACAGTCAGGAAGTAAGAATAAAAGTACTTAACCATGGGAGGAAACCTACCTGCTCCAATTTCATTTCCAGGGCTTGGAATAATATCATCATCTAGACAATCTGGTAAGCCTCCTCTCTCTAGTTTTTCTTCAATTTTGCTTATTGTTTTTGCTAAAGAAAAATCTACACAGTCCTCCAGTACTGCAACATGATCAGCACTTCGTACTTCCAGGTTTCTTATTTTTGAACTAAAAAAAAAAGCAAACTCTAGATTTAAAATTTATAATACAAAAAGAAATTTACAAAAACATAGCTTATTTGCTATTTTTACAAGTATACAGAGTTATTTACCTAACGCAACTTCATTGCTCGCATTTGTATGAAAGATGCATTAATAGAAATTTCTCATTTCCTTTATGTAAAATACCTTTACCATATTCCACATAAACAATTACAAGATTTTACATATTATAATGTAGGAAGCAGAAAAACAGCACCATTTTCTACTGAGAAGGTTTTAGCATGGTATTCTCATCCAACAACTTCATAACTAAATCAAAGTGAAAGACAAAAACAGGAATGTTCTCTTGGTTTAGGTACTATCCTCCGCCTTAAATTCTGCTATTTCCCCCCCCTCCAAAATTTAACTTTTCTAGAACTCTGTCCTCTTTAGCTATACTCATACCTTACTATCACAATTTCTGTACCTGACTAGGAAACTTCACTGACCCTAGTAGTTGCAGACCAAAGTTTTCATAAAACCAAAATACAAAGTATGTGACACATCTGCTACATAGAATATCTCCTCAGTTTTCCTTTATAGAAAGATGACATTAGTTCCCAAAGGATCTGAAGCTCCTAAATGCTTATTCCAATATATGCCCATCCCAATGCAGCCTCCAAACTCCCTCTAGCTGCTAACTTTCTCCTGTAACTTTGGGTTCACACTGCAGGTCCTGTATCTGCACTTCTAAACCTTAAGAAGTGGTGGCAGCATGACAGCCTCCCCTGAACTGCCCAGGGGAGGTCCAAAGGGTCCACAAGTGACTCCTAAGTCCTGATAGACAACCTCAGCCTGTGTCAATTCCATATTCTGCCACCTTGCAGACAAATTTCATCCTACTTTGCTATTTGTCCATATCTTGTGGCTGTTTTAATTTGCTCCCAGGATTTCATGCATTTCTCTACTCTTTTCTCTTGTCCAGATCTCCATTTCTTGCTTTTACAACCTTGAATTTGCTATCTACAGTGCTGAAGCTTTTCAGCTTGGAAGCCCTGAAAGCTGTGGTACTGACTCTCTCTTGTCCTGTGAGCCCAAGATTCACCAAAGTAGGGGAGACCCTTGAGGGCCTTGTGTTTCCCATCACAAGTCTGATCGCAAATCAGTCTTCACCACCTAAGTGTGCTCTCTTGTATTGCCTCAGATGATGTGTTTCCCACGTGTACACTCATTAGGCATCCTTGCACTGAAGGAGTTAACAGAGTTTAACTGTCAGCCTTGGGAAGTGCTTGAGGAGAAAGCAACAGTTTCATTGTTGTAATATTAATCATACATGTTCACTAATGTGATTTTTGGTGCTCTCTGCAAGTAAACAGAGATAGCTACATGGTGGAGCTGACTGAGGAGGACCAAAAGTTTGATACATTTATTTATACTAATATATATAAATATAGAAGAATACATGAATAAAAGTAACCTAATAGAAAAAAATAGCAACTAAAATATTTTATTACAAACAGAGATATGTATAATATACCTTGAAGCTGTTCTTTTTCCCTTATTTCCAGAGTATGGTCTGTTCTGAGCCACGGGCGCGGAAGCACATTTCTTCTTGTTTGCTAGCTACAAATTTTTTTCAGAAAGCAGCGATTTTTTTTAATTAGTTAGGAATTACTTTTCCTAGTGTTTTTTGTGGGGTTTTTTTTTTAAATATATTCAGACTCAAAGATACTTTACAAACCATGCTTTCCAAACTTTCAAAAGCAAAATTTTCCAGTTTTTTTTGCACTTGTCTTTATCTTGCAACTTTCATGTCCATATGCCCAAATTATAATACACCCAATAGACACTTGCTTATGGGAGTTTTTGCGCATGTGCTCAGAAACAAATTCATGCACAAGCAAGGCTCTCGGCTATTATCAAGATATTAACTACTGGACTGTCAACACAGTGTAGTTTTTCTTTGAAAAATGCTTATCATACCTTCAAAACCATGCTATTTTTATGCATTATTTTAATCTTCTAAATTCCCTGTAGAAGGAAGACCTAACAGTATTTTTGTTACTTTCACTCAAATAAACATTCTTCAAAAATTAGGCTTTTTTCTACTGTATTCTGGTAAGTAACTGAAGACAGTATTTTGGAAGCTTTAGCTTACCTCCCAAAAGATTCACTGTAACTGTAATTAGAGACTATTGAGTTTGCTCCTAATCTCAATCCATAAGTGGCACTGAGAAACCCCGGTAACACTGTTCCTGTAGCGCTGCTTTGACCATCATTTCCTCTTGGCTTCCCACATATATAAATCCCCTGTGTAGCACAGCCTCAAAACTGGAAGTAATATGTGGAAACTATACTAGAAGATAAATTAACCAGGGTAGTTTTGATTTTGATACCTTGGCATGTGAGTGTGTAAGAGATGAAACTTCAGGATAGAGTGGATCTCTGCAGAAAAAAAAAAATCACTGAACATGCATAACAAATTAAACATTTTACAATAAAAATTCAACCCCCTCATCAGAATCAGGAGAATAACATTTTATGTTTAGAATAAACAATATAGCTAAGGTGGGAACATATACCAAGTCCAGTCACAAATTCAGTCTCATTCTCTGTCTTTCCATTCCATTTCATTTGCTATCTAAATCACCTGGTGAATCTAGGGTATCTAATACAATAGTTTACTTATGTACCAGAATCTGAATCTCTTCCCTCACAATCCAGGTGATTGCTGCAACTACTGGCTTATTAGATCAATGATTCCCTCCACCAGGGAGTACCTGGCCAGTATGCAGTGTTATCAGCTTCAGCAAGAGAGTCTGATGGTCCATTACCAAAGATCATAGAATCATAGAATGGTTTGGGTTGGAAGGGACCTTAAAGATCATCTAGTTCCAACCCCCCTGCCATCAGCAGGGACACCTTCCACTAGACCAGGTTGCTCAAAGCCTCATCCAACTTGGCCTTAAACACTTCCAGGGAGGGGGCATCCACACCTTCCCTGGGCAACCCACTCCAGTGTCTGACCACCCCCACAGTGAAGAACTTCCTCCTAACATCCAATCTATACCTACCCTCTTTCAGCTTAAACCCATTTCCCCTTGTCTTGTCATTAGTTGCCCTTATGAAAAGTCCCTCCCCAGCTTTCTTGCAGCCCCTTCAGGTACTGGAAGGCCGCTATAAGATCTCCCCGGAGCCTTCTCTTCTCCAGGCTGAACAGCCCCAACTCTTTCAGCCTGTCCTCATAGGAGAGGTGCATCAGCAACAGCTCAGTGGTTAATATGCCCACCTGACATACATATCCCTAAATTAATACAAAGAAAATTAAGACATAAACCAAGGGCCTCTACATACTAAGAGGGGGTGCAATTGTATGCTCAGGTTGACTGTTGTCAAGTCAATTGACAGGGACTACCAAGTGAATATGAGGTGAGAGCAATTTATAAATGAAGCCTCACAGATTTTTCTCTGAAATATATATTATAAATATTGTATCCATTTTATAGATTTAAAAAAATGAATTAAAAAGCAGCTTTCTTATCTGCTTATTTGTCTGAAAACCATGCTTCCTAGTAACTGAACTTCAGGTTAAGTGATTCTTTTTAAAATCTGCTGGAAACAAGCAGAAAGTTTTAGCATGCTGTGTACTATTCAGGTCAAGTTTCTGGTCATATATGTAACTTTTGTGCTTTCAGAATGAGTTATGTGAATCTGTGTTATTGCACTTAAAGGCTACTTTTTTACTAGCCTTTACAATCTTTTACTTCAGTTAAAATGCTGGTTTATAAAAGATTTGGCATAAAATTTCTATTTCAGGCACATCAAGTCATCTCATTTTTTCTGCCCTGTTGATTTGAGCAAATGTTTAGATCTTGCCTTTAAAAATTTCACAGACATCCATTCATCAACAAGAATTATCTGCACAAAGCTCCAGATTTTATTAATCCAAAAAAAACCCACCAACCCCAAACTGGAGAAATCGTCTGTGTGTGGCTGGCAACAGACTTCAAGAATAGGATGATTAGTTTTTGTCTATTTACCCTATTTTCCTCATGCTCCCTTCCTATTGGCTAGCTTTAGGAGCATGCAGGAGGTAAGGATTTGCTGTCACAGAAACAGCAGTTACACGTTATTCTGAAAAATACGAAAATACAACACTTTCTATACTTAATTAAAAAATAATATTCTCTCCATCAATAGACCAATTTGTTCCTACAATATCTGTTGTCTCAGGGCCTTCTTTTTAAAAAAAAAACAAAACAAAAAAACACCCCTCATTGTTCACTCAAACCTGTTTAACCTTAATGGTTTCTTTTTTCTTCCCCATACATGACAACCCATTTTTAAAACCTCACAATACAGTTCTATATTGTTTGGTAAGTGAAATTAATGTGTAAATTCTGAAAAGGTATACAAATAAGTAGCTAGAGGATTGTGGCAACACTGAAACAGAAGCTAATGTTTAAAAATTCCATCTCTGCATGTAAACACGAGATGCATGTGCATGAGCAAACCCTTTGTGTTTGCTAATCCTATTCAAAGCCTATAGCGTGCTTGCCCATGCGCGTACAGTTCCCATCACCATGAGCCTGGCAATGCTCTGAAGAGTGAAAGTGTAAACAAAAGCTGATTTCAATGTGGTGTCACTGGAGCTGCTTTGTCTCCATGTAATTCAAGCTTCTCTGCAAAAATTATGCTATAAAAACTCCAGAACAACTTATTTGAAAATATACACTGACTTGGAGAGTGACTTTAGTATTTGTTGCCTTTTTTCTTTTACTTTGCTTACTCATTTCTTTCTCTTAACCTGTCTTTCCCCTGCCCCCCAATACTACCTCTTATTCTGCTTCAATTTCTCTCCTTCTTTCCAGTTGCTTTAGTGTTTGTTCTCCTTAAAGGAATCAATGGAAATTCAAATGGGTATTTCAAAAATCTCTCAAGTGCTTCCTTTAGATTTATGGCTTATCTGCTTGCACAATTTTGAAAGAAAAAAATTTTTTAATGAAATATTAAATACTTGGAACTAATCTAATTGAATGGCCTCAATGTTCACTCATGGTTAATCAGTATGCCTAATTCCTAGCACACATTTCTAATTTTTTTTACTACAGCATGGGATTTCAGTTCGTCTCTCACATAAGTGTTTACCAGAACACACACTGTGGTTGTTTTAAGGCGTTTTAATTTATGTAGGTAATTGGTAGATCAGCTGCTACTGTGACATGCTAATTGCCAATATTTTTCTTAATTCTTCCAGCACTCCCATTATTTATTTCAAATGTATACCATCAAAGCTGTTAACTCCCTTTGCAGGGCTGAATCCTTCAATCATATTACTTCATAAAACAGCCCTATAATTCAACTCCAGTTTGGAGTTCTTTCAAATCTTGTCTACTGATCAAAAATCCATCTAATAGAACAGAAAACTAAAGCAAGATCCAGAATTTGTTTGCAAAGCATGATTATACTGGTAACATATAGAGTTTGTTTTATTTCCCCTCTACAGCTGACAGATATGACTTTAAAATAGCTCATGAACAACTTTAACTATAGTAGCAAACTTCTGGCTATACCAGCCAGCAGACTTCCTGTCGCACCTTTTGGTGTACTGAAAATCTCTTTTACATTCATTAAAAAACTCACTTTGTGTTTTCACTTTTACTTTATACGAAAGTAATTATTTTATAATCTCTAGCAGATTTTCACATATATTATTTCAAAACAGTTTCTTAACTGCAGCTTAACATTTGAAGCACCATGTAGTCTGGCCCTGTATCTTCATCCAGATTAGTGGCATCACAAATTTAGGAACCTACCAGATCAGATCCTTGATAAACCATGTATTAGTCTATCTTAAATTAACCCCCTTCCTGTACTATCAATACACAAACCCTTGAACAACTAAGTAAATACGGCTGTGTATCCATTCTAGAGCTAACGGGTTTGAATGTACAAGCTAAAACTCTCAGTTGTACCTATGTTCACACAGGCCAAAGGTGTGTCAGCCTCAGAAGTGTAATGATATGCAGGTTCCAGAGGGTGGCAGCTGAATGTTTATCTGTCTTAGGTTTCTGTGTTTGGGTTTTTTTAATCAAGCACTTCCTGTCCCAGGAACGTTTAGGCCAAGTTAAATGTGAACCAGTATCTATCGCTTAGCTTTATCTGCTGAACTGGTTAAAAACTATCTATTGCTGAGTGTCTACTGTTTTGTATGGCAAAGAAACCTATTACCTTACCTTGCTTTTTTACAGATGTCAGCACTACTTGGCATCCTAGATAGAACATTTCAGCAAAACTAAGACTTCCGTGAAATAACAAGGAACATTTACTTAGTATCAATTGTTTCAAATAATAGGAAAAAAAATAAGACTCCACTAATCTAGTATGCTGCAAAGACAGACAAAATGGGAGCATGCCTAGTGCACTAGTCAGGGTGCACAGGATCAGTGTGAAAGATTCCCCATGAATTATATGCAGCAGTTGCAAAGCACATACCTCTGTCTGTCGTCTTCATGTGACTTAGTCTGTACTGAAACTGGTCTAGATAGTATCTCTTGTCGGCCTTTCTTTATTTAAAAAAAAAAAAAGTAAATTTTGTAGTAATATAATTCATTAAAGATTAATTATATATTCATAAATCACAGATCACAACTATAGTCTGCTTTAGAAAAGATTTGAAACTATAGTCTACTGTGGAAAAGAACTTCTCAAACACAGGAAAAGATGGCTAAAAATTAAAATGCCATTGTTATCCTCCAACACTTATTTCTGCTTCACAACATGTAATTGCCATTTGCCTGTAAAACTTTTGCCCAGTTTATTATCATCTGAGATGCTGTTACCCTCCTTCCTTTGTCCCTGAAATACAGTAGTAGCAAATGCACAGCAGGTGGAACAAATTTTCAGTTTTCCGTATTGCACAATAAGCCTTAAAAACAAATCTTTATTCATGCAATATGACCGTAATTGGACACTGATATGTTGTATGTACTTTAGAGAATAATTCAGTCTGAATGTTAGATTGCTTCTATGTTGCTAAGTTACGGTTAGAAAGCATAATCCAGAACAAAATGCAGTTGTCCTGTTTGACGTTTGGTTGGAGGTTTTTTGTGTTGCTTTTTTTTGTGGGTTTTGTTTGGCTGGTTGTTTGGGGTTTGTTTTTTTTTTTAACTTAGACTATTCTTTTGCTGTTAAATGTATGTGTGTGCAATCTGGCAGTGCCATTTGGTATATTAAGTGTCCTAAGAATATTTGATCTTCTGCTGTATTTAGTGAAGGGTTAAAAAAAAAAAAAAAAAAAAAAGTGAAGTGGTTTTGTTGTTGCTGTTTTTTAAAGGAAAGAGTCTAGATGCTATTTTGGAAGCTTCATCTGCTTCTATTCACATGCCAAGCAGTTAGCCTCAGCTTACCACAGCTAAAGAGAAGAATATGTTTTTACAG